GGAATTTATTTGCAAGGTAACCATGGACACTGTTAACTGTGTTCTGCCCAAAATTGGCTTGCAACTTAATACATGCATCAATCAGATTTGGGGTATTCTCTACTAAATAATCTTGGGCAGTATAACAATCATACTTGATTGATACAAGACTTGGGGTAGAAACCTTGATCTTAGAATGTATTAAACCATTATGGCCCCCACAAATTGATAGACTCTTTAGCTTCGGAGCAGAAATATGCAAGAACCCAGACGTCATAATGTCACAACACATCATTACCAAACTTTCAAGGGCTGGACAGTTGGAAAAGAATTCATCTGCTGACTTTCCATCCAAAAATATAACCGACATAAGATTCACGATCTTAAGACCAGGAAGAAAAATTGAAGTTGGAAGGTAGAGAACAGAGTCATCCAAATGCAGTGTCAACACTTCTAGTGATTCACATGTAAAAAGGCAGCAGGGAAGCGTGAATTCTACCGTAGGAGAGATGAAGAGACTAAGTTCTTTAACTTCACGATTTATTGCAGCSCGGATCCATGTATCAACACGGGATGCATCACAGTCACCACATGGAAGACGGACTCTRTATAAATTAAGCGAACTGTGGAGAACAAGCACCTTATCCACAAAATCCATATATTTACATTTTAAATCTTCATTGATTCCATCATCAYTAAGCAGATCATCATCAAAATCCAGAATGGAAACATAATACCACAAGTGTTGCCATCTCCTTGACAAAATGCTAGTCCTTACAGCATATCTAGCAGGAAGAAAGGAGAGAATGTGATGAAGAATTGATTCAGGCAGATCACTTATTCTGTCGCATCCCTCACCTACGTTCCCCATATCAGAGAGCCTCTTCTTTTCAACTTGTAACTCATCTTGTTCACCAAATTCCATRACYTCGTTAATAATTCTAGAAGATGAAAATGCCCAAAGGATTTCCTGGTTATAGTTGAAAGGAGGTGAGTAGATATGCTTCTCCTCGAGGAAACAAAATCAGTGCTTGTACAAGGAAAAAAAGAATAGAAAAAATTGTCTAATCCATTAGAAAAGTCAAATAAACAACATTAACAGTTCAGTATTTACATGTCTGAACTCAATATTTTTTTTTTTGTATGAAAGCTTAAAATACGCTTCACCCTACCCATAATACTAGCATCTGACTTACTGTTTTCTTTGCATTGTTTCTTGTAAAGTTAAATTTGGATTTCATGTAATTAAAATTTTTGTTCATTTAGAATAGATTCTATTAATGATCAAAATTCCCAAGAATAGATAAAATGCATACAGAAACTCAGAAAGCACACTAGCAAATTCACAACAAGGAGTAAAAAACAAGAAATTAAATACTATTCAAACATTTAATCCACTCTCCTACTTAAACTGTAAGCAAATGGACCAGCCTACCTTATGAACCATCTCACTGAGATGTTCCATGCAAAAACCAAAGTAGAGCTTCTATACTGTAGTTGTACATTGACTACATACCCAAAGAACCATTGCTCATACATCCAAACACCTCACCGTAATGAAACACGACTACTCTGATAGCAAACTTATTTACAATAGGTTCACTCAAGATAGGCTTCCAGAGCTAGGAACTAAGTTTAAACGTGCAAGAATGAAATTAAGCCGAATACATAGGTTGGATTGGGATTAACCGCAAGAACTGCAAGTTTATCTGTAGGGGTGTCAACGGTATTCGAAAATTTGATTTCGAATTCGATATTCGACATAATCGAATCGAATTCGGATAATTCGAGTATCTAACCGGTCAAATTCGGATGTCCTATTCTTACCGAATAGTTAATAGGATTCGAATTCAGATATGATCTGATTCGATTCGATAAATATTTCAATTTGACCGATTATTAATTATCTAAAATGGTTAATTCATCTAATTCAAATCGAATCGAATATTCGAATATTTAATCGGATTCGAATGCGGATATTAATTTTCAATATCCATCAGATATTGAATCAAATTCGGATATCGGGTTTTCTAATCGGATTTGAAATTTGGTATTGCATGGTCCAATTCGGATTCTCCGGAGACAACAAGGACAACCAGGATGGATTCCTGCTTCGATTTTGGAAAGGAGATTAAGGGAGTGTTCAACATAATGGTTAGTTTTGTTTTTATAAACACAAAAGCAATTGCTTTGTCAGCAAAAATAATACAGTTTTACCGACAAGGCATTTGTTCATGTTTTCAAAAACAAAATTAACCACGTTACATGTGTTTGAAATCGTGGGTGTTTATTGAATATACGCTGCCACATAGGCGTCACTTCAGCATTTCTCTCATTATGTGAATTCATACTCGTAGAGACTTGCAAAAGCAGGCATTGATTTATGTGCGCACCTACCGTTGGGGGAAGCTTTATTTTAGCGCTTCCCCCAATAGGTAGGTGTTTACTTATACATTGTCTTACTGATGTGGTGACCAATGGTACCTAAGTGTCAATAAACAAGTTCATTATTGTTTTTCTCGGTTTTACAAACAAATCAAATACAAATGTTTAGTGAATAAATGCCTGCGGTTCCAAACACATACGTTGTCGAACACCTAAATCTCAAGGGGTTTCAGAAATCCATAACACCGCTTTGGTTCCAACTTTTAAGTTTTTATGCTGTTAGGAATATTTTTTATTTTGACCATGATCTTCAGTCCTTACATTCATTTGCCATTATATTGGATCCAAAGATACAGGAGAGCATTAGGCCCCGTTTGGCACGTCTTTTCGACCAGGCTATCACCTTTTAGAAGCTCGACAGCTTGTCTTTTCGTAGTTTTCCATTTGGTTAGGAAAAGATCTATCCTTCAAAAGATGTCTCGCCAAAAAGATGCACGAAACCCGTTTTGGGCAATTTTCGGGAAGTTTCAAATGGAGCTTTTTGGGTGTTTTTTTCAACTCGTCTTTGTATGGAATGACGCACGAAAAGACACACCTTAACCACATTGTCTTCAAGCTGTCAAGATCTTAATGCAGAAACTCGCATACAAGGTCGTATTTTTTGAAGGATCTTCTAGTAGCTTTGGTAGTCAAAAGATGTAATGAGCTTTTGCATTAAGATCTTGATAGCCTGACAACTGTTTAGTTATGGCATATTTTTCCTCGTGTCTTCTTGAAAATTGCCTAAAACGGCCTTTACTTATCCTTTTGGCAATTAGATCATTTCCCAACAAAATGGAAAAAAAATAAAAAATGCAGGCCGCGGTGTTTCTAAAAATTACACCCTGTGCAAAAACACACATCAAATAGGGCTGTACTGCTTTTTAACTGTCAGAGCTTTCAAAAGATTTTTCAAAAAAATTTGCCAAATGGCCGCTTAGTTACTCGAGTAACCGATACGCTCTTGCAGGGTGGATAAATAATTTATGGCCGTTCTAGTAACAATCTCTCTCCCTTTTGCCTCACGAATTACCGGAATAACTTGTACATCACAAGAACACTGAAACTTCACTTAGCGGGAGATGGAGAGATGATCTACACACTGAAACTTCACTGAAACAATAAGGTTTCTACAAGCTTGCATACAAAAAAAAAAAAAAAAAAAAAAAAAAAACAGAGAGCACACTTTATTGAAGGATCTATGGCCTATGATCTATCTGGAGAGGGAGAGATGAGAAGTAATGATTATAAAGAGTGGATTGATCAACCTGATGAGGAGACTCCCAAAAAGGTTTCAAGCCGAATTTGGTGATTCCCTTGGCGAACCTCACCACTTTGTTTGGAACTTTGTGATAACAAACCTCTTCGAGACGAAAGGAGACGATCAGCTGTCCTCGTCTCTTGGGAGATGATAAGATTCTGTACTTGCAAACGTCGTAGGAAGGAGACTGATTATCGTTTGCGTTGTTAACCAGGTCGTTCCGGTTGATACGGACCTCTCCGATGGTTTTGTCTGAGACTATAGGTCGTTTGCGACTTAGCTTGATGATAAGTTGTTTTTTTGTGAGCATTTTCTCTCTGACCTCGAACCCCATCGTCGTTCCCCATCTGGGTTTCAGACCCCACTCGGAATGTGTAATCTTCTTCCTCTTAAAGTCGTCGTCCATGTACGCCATGGCGTAGATTCTCATGTCGCTTCTCTTCATGAAAACTTCTGCAGAAATTATGGTGATTTTTACGGTCCTATAGGCCTCCATTACTAATATTCACACACACACACGCACAGAGAGATATCGGTGATAACAGCTACGAAGAAGCCTCAAAACTGCAGAGTAAGCAAGGATTGCAGTAACGGATAATAAATGATGCCTAATTTGGGGAAAAAAATAATGAAATTAGACCGAGTCCATGGTTAGCAGCTAATTACATTGCCACGCGGATGGCCTTTTAATTTATAAAATTATAATGGAATGGAATAATAAAAATAATGAGTATATTTTTTTATTTTTATTAATTTATATTAATGGGTTTTGTCTTACATTATTTAATAAAAATGAAAAGTAATTTAACACTGGGTATAGCTTTAAATAGATTGGATTAATAAAACAGGATTCGTACAACCAATCCCATATAATTGGGATAAAATTATGGATAATGATGATGATGCAAGATAAATCTTACATAATTTGTCTCACTAAAAACTAATAAAAAATTATATATATATATATATATATTGTAAGTCATTAATAATATATTTCAATTGGGCCAAGTAAAAATTCTGATTTATTTTTTATTTTAAATTTTAGCTTATTTTGTTTAGTTGCAGTACAAATGAATAAATTAAGACATGAAATAAAATAAAGTAAAACACAAAACAAAATTTAATGAGTATTTACATTTTTTTTCATTTATATTTTAATGCATTTATTCTAGTGCAAATAAAATTACACTACAACCAAACATAGCCTTAGTTTCCGGTGATGCATGTACCCACTCCCATTATTTGGAATTCAAACATTCCTGAGATTATTGTCCAAGCATTAATATTAAGCGGTTAGGCGCCAATAAAGACGTAGAATTTGGCAGTCTTATGAGCATTTTTTGACACGTCATATCTATGGACCATGGGTTGAGCCCTGGCTCTATTCAGGGTAGATCCTGGGTGAACCTGGACAAACCTCTTCCGGCCGGTAACATATATTTTTCTATTAACAAAAATAAATCATCTTTTCTATTGGATAAGTAATTTAAAGTAAACCTTCCCTGTGTTGCCTAACAAATGCTTAAATTTAAGCATTATAAATGGAGTAGCCAATTAGGTGTTATTTATTAAAATTCATGGGTGGGTTTTGATTGGTCAAAACTCTCTCATGCCTTATCTTAAATGGGTTTGATTATGATATGTGAAACTAGTCAAATGGAATTATAAATGGAGTAGCCAATTAGGTGTTATTTATCAAAATTCATGGGTGGGTTTTGTTTGGTCAAAACTCTCCCATGCCTTATCTTTCTCTGCATCATAGATTTTCCCTAAATTTAAGCTTCCTATTAACTTTAACTTTCTCAAAAGACTCCTTTGGCATTTGGTTGTAATCATAAAAATACACCCCTACCCTTTCATTATGCCCCCATTATGTTTTTAAGACAGAAAAAGGAGGGTGGGCCATAGTGCAAAGGCTGGATTGTCCAATTGTAACTTGGGTGATCAGAGTTCAAATCATAGAAACCAATGTTTTCAATTCATCATTGACTTGGCTGGTCAAAACATTTGAACCATCACCCGTTTAAGATTTCGGGTCAAGCTCAGTCAAGACCTGTTAGACGGTCAAAAATCATTGACTTGGTCAAGAACCATTCAACCTAACTGGTTCAATTGTTGATCCATTTGACCCAGTCACCAGGTCGAGGGTTGCAAACTCAATGTATGCAAAATTTCGGAGGCCATAACTTTGCACTCTGATATCTGCTTGGGGTGATTTGTTTTTTGATTTTGGGTAATTTTTCAAGATCTATGCGCCCCAAGGTGCCTCTGCTATTTTTGCAAAA